GGTCATCCCTGCCATTGAAGCAAAAAGCTCAATCAAAATCAACAAGAGAAAAGGCTGGTGTTGACAGAAGTAATTAATTACATCATTACCAGAATCATATTGACATTTCACAATGCATATATATATTTAAACTAAATTTTAGGGCACACAAACTCTTAAATGCGCAATAATGCTTTGATCAAAGAATCAAAACATACTCAGTACAAAAGGTAACACATACACACACTGAAGCATACATACAACCTCTGATCATAGCTGTATCTGTTACAACATTTCCCCCATGAACATATTGGATATACCTGAAATCATATCAAACAGTAAATCAAACTGGTCTGTTTTATTAAAAAATGTCCATATGAAGAACTGGCAGGCAATATTTTAAATAAAAAGTGTTGCACATCGAACTGTTATGATATGGCATTCTACCACATTAAACTGCATCTGAAGCAGTGTACATATAAATTAACTTTCTATAAATTTAAATATTCTAAGTAACTTGCTTTGAAAATGCTGAAAATTATTTTTAAGCCTTTGTACTCTTTGTAAAGGTAACCATGTTTAGAATACGTATCAGTCCAATGGATTACACTATATTTTGCTCAACAACAGAAACAGAACGTTGCTGGAAAGGCTCAGCAGGTCTGGCAGCATCTGTGAAGAAAAAAAAATCAGAGTTAACATTTCGGGTCCATGACCCTTCCTCAGTTCTGATATTTTCTTCACAGATGCTGCCAGACCTACTGAGCTTTTCTAGCAACTTCTGTTTTGGTTCCTGATTTACAGCATCCTCAGTTCTTTCGGTTTATATTTACTATTTTTTGCTCATTTGGTTCTAAAGCAACATGTTCAAACATTAAATTAAATTGTTCTTAAGAAAACAGGCAAACATCACATGCATAATAATTTGCCTTTGTTTTTCAAGTGCTTAATATTGTACAATATTGTAACATTGTACATTTCCATAATTGTATCCTCGACCACTGAAATAGTATCCTTGGGGAACTTTAAATTTAAAGTATGCAAAGTTTTAATTGAAAAAACAAACTGGCTTCTATGTCAAAAGGAGATCTTGATTTTTTTCAAAAAATTCTTTCATGGGATTTGAGCATTGCTGACTAAGCCAGCATTTGTTGGCCACTCCTAATTGCCCTGAAGAAAGTGGTAGTGAGCTGCCTTCTTAAAGGACTGCAGTCCTTTAAGTGTAGGGACACCCACAATGCTGTTATGATAGTAGTATGGGTAATGAATCAACACCTAGTTTCATTCTTCTGCTCTCTCTATATATTTAAAAAAAAATCAATGCATTAAGTCTCCTGTAAAGAGCTGAGAAATTTCAAATTAATGCATTCACTATTATGTCTAGCATTTAACGGCATAATTTCAAGCACTTGTACAAACAAACAAGGTATTAGCTGTTTCAATATGGTATGGGATGATTTATTAATATCCAAAATAAATCAGGAGGCTACAACGGACCATTGTAACAAGTCATTAAAAGTGTAGATAAATAAAAATTGATATTTGAAAGTGCAAATTTGAACATTTTAGTTAACGGAACTCCAAATTGTCTTGCATCACCTTTAGAACACTTCAACAGCAGAACTAAACATAAAACTCTTTATATTGAGCCAAAGTCATGAACTGATGTAGATTTGTTAGTCTAGCACTCAATTCTCATTTGTTCTTTAGGTTTTGTTTGTTGACTTATTTTTCCCCAATCAATCTATTCAGACATTTTTTACAGACTTCTGGAGCAGGTGGGACTTGAACCCAGGCCTCCAAGTCCAGGTGTAGGGGCACTACCACTGTGCCACAAGAGCCCTTAGTTTGCTTTGTGTCATAATCTCAACCAAATGGACAGTAATGCATGGGAAAGGCCAATTAATACAGTAGGCACCAATTGATAAAACAGTACATCTCTGGCCGATGCATTTGAACAGGAAGTCAGTGTCCTTGATGTTATCAGTATGCATCTACACCACATTGGAACCAAAACCAGAAATAAGGCACTAGTTGCAAAACAGAACGAAACGTGACCATGTTGCTGCCTCTCCCTCACTGTCTCATTGATTGACTTCCTCATCACTGGCTGTCCCCCAGCCACTCCCCTCATAGGTGACCATTCCCCTGACTGTCCCAATGGGTGTCCCCTTGCTATCCTGCCAGTCACATTCCTTGCTGCCTAGCTCTCCAGTTCACTCGGTGGGGCAGCAAGGGATGCGGCGAGTGATGGCTCTTCCTGAATAGCTCTCTGGGTCAGTAATTTTCTAATTCTTTTCAGGGGCACCAAGCTTTTACATGAAAGAAACCTGGAATACAAAACTATTTTACAAGTCCAGTGATGTCGCTGGCAGTGATGCCATAAGGATTGAGTGCTTTAGCTGTGAGGGTACTTCAGTTTGCAGTGGCCGCAAATGCAGGAATTAATGAACTGTGCAGTGATATTGAACAAAGTTATTCATTCAGCTCCCAATGTGCATGTACAATACATTAAATAAGTATGCAACATAAAGAATACTTTTTATATTCTGCTTAAATATGCATGGTGCACAGCAAATACACTGTTACTCCAAAACATTTCATATCACGTTTGCCAATTCGAGCAAAATCAAACACATTAATTTAAAATTAACAAGTCATCTCCATATGATCTGTGTGAACACAGTAACCAGTTATAGAAAAAGTCAAATATTTTCCCTGAAGTTTCATATTTAAGTAGTGCATTTATGTAAAACACACTCCGCTTCAGTGAGAATTGAAACATCAGAGCCAGGTGTTAATTCCCAGCTCAAACCATTAGTTTATATAGTGATTCAAGTGGCTTTGACATCAGTATGCTTTTAACACCAATCTGTTACTTATAAACTGTATTGGTTTCCTTTTAGACAAAAGAACATGAACCACAATTTCAATTCAATGAATTATTTATCAACTGGTACGAAAACTTAAATCCTCATCATCACATGTTCATCCTACCCTCCCTCGACCTCTATCTCAAACCGCTGCCAAGACATCAATTGCTTGGACCTCTCCACACCTTTCACTTACTCCAACATCTCCCCAGTGGAATGTACAGCCCTCACTTCCCTTCATTCCAACCCCAACCTCACTACTAAACCTGCCGATAACGGGGAGCGCAGTGGTAGTACAGCAAACTGACTTCTACATCACTGAGGCCAGACGCCAACTCACTAACACCTCCTACTGTCCCCTCGATCATCGCACCACCTCTGATCACCAAACCATCATCACCTCAGGAGATCTCCTGTTCACAGCCTCCATCCTGATAGAAACAGGCGATGCGGGCTTGGGAAATTATTTCCTATCCAAAATCCATAAACCCGACTGTCCTGGTCAACCCATTGTCTCTGCCTGCTCCTGCCCCGCCAAACTTGTCTCCCCTCCTACCTCGCCTCCATTCTTTCCCCTTTGGTTCAGGAACTTCCCGCCCACATTCGTGACTCAACCCACATCCTCCACCTTTTCCAAAACTTTCAATTCTTCGGATCCCGACACCTCATCTTCACAGGGGAGGCAATGGCCTAGTGGTATTATCGCTGGACTGTTAATCCAGAGACCCAGACAACATAGTGGGGACCCGAGTTCAAATCCTGCCATGGCAGATGGTAGAACTTGAATTCAATAAAAAAAAAAAATCTGGAATTAAGGATCTAATGATGACTGTGAATCCATTGTCGGGAAAACCCATCTGGTTCACTAATGTCCTTTAGGGACGGAAACTGCCATCCTTACCTGGTCTGGCCTACATGTGACACCAGACCCATGGCAGTGTGGTTGACTCTTAACTGCCCTCTGGGCAATTGGGGATGGGCAACAAATGCTGGCCTAGCCAGCGATGCCCACATTCTGAATAAATTTTAAAAAAAACTCTGGACATACAGTCCTTGTACACCTCGAACCACCATAAGGATGGCCTAGAAGCCCTCTGCTTGCTCTCCCGTAGGTCCAATCAGTCCCCTTCCGCTGACACTCATTCACTTGGCAGTCTGGTCCTCACCCTCAACAGTTTTTCCTTGGATTCTTCCCACTTCCCAAGAGGTTTCCCAAGCAGTGGCCATGGGCACCCACATGGGCCCAAAGTTATGCTTGCCTCTTTGTAGGATTTGTGGAATGGTCGCTCTTCCACAACTACATCAGCAGCACCTCTCACCTCTTTCTCCATTATATCAATGACTGTATCGGTGCTGCCTTGTGCTCCCGCAAGGAGCTCAAGCAGTTCATCAACTCCGCCAACACCTTCTACCCTGCCCTCAAATTCACTTGAACACCTCCCTCCCCTTCCTAGACTCTGTCTCCATTGCCGGAAACCAATTCACCACTGACATCCATTTCAAACCCACTAACTCCCACAACTACCTTGATTACACCACTTCTCACCCACTCTCCTGCAAAAATGCTATCCCATACTCTCCATTCTTCCACCTCTGCTGCATCAGCTCCCAGGATGAGGCATTCCACTCCAGGACATTCCAGATATCCTCCTACTTCAGAGATTGTAGTTTCCCCTCCTCTGTAATTAAGGATGCCCTCAATCATATCTCCCCCATTTCTTCCCTCAAATCAACAATAAGAACCCCACCAACTTCCAAATCCAACACATCATCCTCAGGCATTTCCATCACCTACAATCAGACCCCTCCACCAGAAAGATATTTCCTTCCCCACCCACGTCCACTCTCTGCAGGGACAGTAGACTTTGCAACTCTCTCGTCAGCTCTACACTTGCCACCAACCTCTGCACCATATCCAGTATCTTTCATGCAACTGCAAGAGGTGCAACACCTACCACCACAACTCCCCACTCACCTCCTTCCAAGGCTCCAAACAATCCTTCCAGATCCAGCAGATTCATCTGCATCTCATCCAACCTGATTTATTGCATCCATTGCTCCCAATGTGGTCTCCTCTATATCGGAGAGACCAAACACAGACTCGTGAACCAGTTCACAGAGCATCTGCGCTCAGCATGCACCAACCAACTTGACATTCCAGTTGCCATCCATTTTAATTCCCCCTCCCCTGGCCTCCTCCACTGTCAGAGTCAGGCCAGACATGAACTGGAGGAACAACATCTGATATTTCGTCTTGGGAGCACATAGCTCAACGCCCTGAATATTGATTTCACCACCTTCAAAATCCCTCCACCCACAGCCTTATCCCATGTCCTAACTCCCTGACCTGTCCATTTTCCTACTCATCGATCCACTCTACCCTTCCCACTGACCAATCACTATAACCCCTTACATCCACCCATCATCATCCCACCTACCTTTCCTCAGCACCCCCCTCTTCCATTTATATCCGGGATACCCTCCCCCTCCCCAGATCTGACGAAGGGTTTCAGCCCAAAACGTTGACATTCCTGCTCGTCTGATGCTGCCTGACCTGCTGTGTTTGTCCAGCTCCACGTTTATGGACTCTGGCTTCCAGCATCTACAGTCCTTACTGTTTCCTAAATTTCAATTAAGTCCAAATCAAATTACTGAACAGAGTACAATTTTAAAGTAGAAAATCTGCAAATTTTAATTGAGCAATCATAAAGTAGATTTGCAGATTACATACTTACATGACAAGTTGCTTTAAAAAATAATTGTCTAATGTGTGGCATTAAAGGCAAATTGAAGAGCAAGGTTAGAATTTTTAATTCTGTGTCATAAATCCACATGGAAGCAGAGTCTATCAAACCATTTAAAATTAGTTACCCAGTATAGAAACATACAGGAATGCTAGAAGGGCATGAAATCTGAAAGAAATGTGGAATTAGACAAGGTAGCTCATGTTATAAAAAAAAATTGCATAGACAGGCAAAATGGCTCCTTTCAATACTATAAAGTCAAGCATGAATTCTTCTCAAGGCACTCAAGCTAGAGACCTAATTCCACAACACAATTATTAAACTGAATATAACACCTGCTACAAGTTTGACATTTAAAAACATAAAACAAGGTAATGCAAGGCTATAGGAAAGAGAGAAGGGGAAAAATTCTAATTGAATAACTCTGCCAAAGAGCCAGAGGTACAAAGGCTCAAAAATAAGGCTCATTTGAGGATAACGTTGACTTTGTGTGTCGAGTGTAAAATGAGTGATAGCAAGTTGGCAGCTCGTTTTACATTTATTTCCACTGAAGTTTAAATTTATCCCAGGTTTAATTCCAAATTTTCAAAACAAAAAAATGACTTATCATCAATGATGTATGCATAATCATTAAACACCACCTGGACACCATATGCAATGATAAGGTTTTTCTTTTAAAAATGGTTCCATCTTCAATTCTACCCTTTATTACTCCTTCTGGCTTAAGTCTTACAGCTCTGGAACAATATCAACTCTCCTGTATTTTTCCCAAAATGGTCATTTAGGTGATACAGCAGTTCCTGCGATTGAGGTGTTCCTCACCTACGAATGTCACTGCCTCATGTTATTTATAAAAAGTGTCAATGTATTTTTTTCCCCAGCAGGAAATGTGAAATAGTGAGAAACAGAAGCCCGAATGATTTTTCCTCTATCCTAGCCCAGCAAAATTGAAGCTGATTGAGGAAGTCTTGAACTTCCCCAGCCAAGACTGGAAATTAAATCAGTTACCTCTAACTAAACCAAGATACAAGGTAGTATTTTCGACTAAGTTATGAGGGAGCTACAAATGGTTCGTTGCAAATCTTTTTGCTAGTTAGTTGAAGTCAGTCATGAGAGAGAAAATACACTCAAAATAAAATTATCCAACTGATGTCATCAACTATTAACTTTCATTCATGTGAATTATAAACTTACATATAGTTCTGTTGTTTTGTAAGACTTGCATGGAGAGAAATTCCAAAATCGTTTTGATAATCAAAATCTTCATTCATTTGAAATCTTTGCACTTTTACAATTTCTTCATTGCTGTGTCTAACAATATTGTTACAGAAATTCATTTTCTCTACTCCAACTTTTTTGGGAGAGAATCTGGATTATATCTAAACTTGTAGCCATATGGTCGTAGATGGTAAGTCATGTATTCCAAATAGTACATGGTCTTGGAATCAATGTAGTGAAACGATACTGCCAGATCAGAGCAACATTCGGGTCCCTGAAAAGAAAATAAACCACATTAACAAAAAAAAAAAACACTCAAATGCATAAATCCAGTGCTAAATTTTTAAACAAGGTTCACTCAATAGATTCACGTTAAAGAACTTCTCATTTGATCTACAGCACAAACTCTACCATCTTCCTAATAAGAATCTAGCAATCAATGATTCCGACTGTTTTGCCTGCTGGTCACAGCAAGACTGAGCTGAGAAATCTTGTCAATATAATTGACTCACCATAGTGTTCCATCCTGTTGTCCGTAGATAGCAGGAGGGGGGAGATGGCTTTGTGACAGTACTTGCTTTTCCATCACAGAGGGTGTCGCACACAGCAGTCCTATTCATGGTTAATGTGGTTCAGAGTCTTACAGGTCACCAGTACTTTTTGAACCTTGAGGAATGAGTGTCATAGTGCACACTGGTTGTAATAGATTTCAACACCAATTTCACCTGCTAATCATTTTATTGGAAATTTAAGCCCCTTGCTGTTGACCTTTTACATCCTGGTGAGGATGCAGGGGACAAGGTGGTGTGGACAGGCAGGTTGGAGGACGTTCTTATGAGTCTGTTCCCTGGTCTGCCCTCAGTGGCCATAAACAGACTCAGGCGGCAGTAGTTGTGGTGGTGGGGTTTGGCCTGACTGCCGTTTATAGAGTCATATAGCACAGAGACAGACCCTTCAGTCCAACCAGTCCATGCTGAACATAACCCCAAGCTGAACTAGTCCCACCTGCCTACTCCTGGCCCATATCCCTCTGAACCTTTCCTATTCATGTACCTATCCAAAATGTCTTTAAACATTGTAATTGTATCCACATTCACTACTTCCTCAGGAAGTTCATTCTACACACAAACCACCCTCTGTAAAAAAGAAACCTGCCCCTCATGTCTTTTAAGGTGAGAGGAGAAAAATTTTTTAAAATGTGCCTGCCTGGTCTCAAAATCCCCCCATCCTAGGGAAAGACAACTATTTTAACTCTATCTATGCCCGTCACTATTTTATAAACCTCTATCACGTCACCTCTGAACCCCCTGCACTCCAGTTTAAAAAAAACCAAGTCCCAGCCTATCAAACCTTCTATTCCGGTAAATATCTTCTGGACCCCTTCAGCTTAATAATTTCTTTCCTTTAATTGGTCAACCAGAACTGGACACAGTCTTCCAGGAGAGGCCTTACCAATGTCCTCTACAACCTCAACATGACTTCCCAACTCCAATATTCAAGGGAGTGAGCAATGAAGGCAAGCGTGCTAAACGCCTCTTCAGTCACTATCTACATATTCCCTCTCTGCAGCTGCTTATTTGCCAGGAGATGGAGCACACCATTTCCACTGGAACAATCGAGGCTTTCTGCAACTGGTGTGGATTGTAGGGGCCAGAATATATTACCACCACCCACAACTGACAATTCAATTTACACTTTGGATTTTTATTGCAGCACTCTTTCGAAGCCGCTACCCTCTAATTTGATTCAATTTGTTTCAAAGCAAGTATGTAGCTGGTATCTGCTTTAAGATTGAGAATGCCAATCTTGAATATTTTCACTAGCATGCTGCTGAATTTTTTTTTTTAATGCTGTTTAACAATTAACAATAGAGAAGTGCCTTGTACAGAAGGACATAGCCATAGAAACAGGCATTTGTAACAAAAAAAAATTCCCAGTAATGAACAAAAAATAAATAGACTGCAACTCCACTATTCTCAAATGCCTCACCAAAAATTTCTGGTGAATTTGATCTTCGATATTTACCAGTTTGTAATCTAAGTCACTGTGATACTGCATAACTGTCACTATTATACCTGTATAATGTGGCCATTGTACCTTTACATTTAACTACGACACTGTCATAACAAGGTGACATTTGTACCATCATTAACATGGGGAGCAATGTGATCCTGACTCAGGTTTGCTCTTTATGGATTAAAAAGAGACAGCATTAGGTGTAGTTTAAACCAATATCTGACAGAGATTGAGTTAATGCTCGCAAATAACCGTTTCCAGGACCATTCCTTTCAATAGGCTTGAAGAAATAACCATATATAAATATTGAATAAATGATAAAGATTAAATCAAGAAAATGCTCTGTTCAAAGTTTAACCACATACTACCAGATTGTGAAACAATCAGCACTGCACCTCTTTCTACTTAAAGGAGATCTGCACCATGTGTCTGTTCAGTCTTGAATATTTCTAAATATAACACGCAACCTAACTTCCAGTGAGCATAGACGCATTCATAGAGGTCCATCCCACTGGATTTCTAACGTGCCCAGGGAAAATGCCATTTCTCCACGTTACTTAGCACTATCTGCGGTAGAATCATGTAGAAAAAAACAACAGAATTCTTTTTCAGATTACTGCAGCTCAAAAGTAGCAGTTGGAGATAGAGAAGCAGCCAGATTTGTGCTTCTTGGCATATTTAGAAAACAGACTTTAAAGTTAAGGAACAACTGAACTAAACTGATTAATATTGGACGCGGAGGTAGTAAAAGTTGTTTAATACCTCAGTAGAGGTCAAGTGCAACCCTTTTAAACAAAATAAAGTTGAGCGTGCAGAATACGCTCACACTTCAGATCAGGCAGTGCAGACTAAAATGAACATGATCCTGAAGGGAATCAGAAACAATAAGAACAATTTCTTCAAACCTCTTAAGGGGAAAAAAGATGAAGGGTTCATCGGATTATAAAACAGCAATCCCTCCATCAATGCTCAGTGGCAGCCATGTCTTTTATCTACAAGATGCACTTGACAGCACCTTCTAGATTCACGACCACTTCCATCTAGAAGGATGAAGGCAGCAGATACATGGGAACATCACCTTTAAGCTCCACTCCAAGTCGCTCACTATGCTGATTTGAAAACATATCACCCCACTGTGGCTGAGTCAAAATCTTGGAATTACATGCCCCCCCCCCCACCAAAGGGCATTGTAGGTGTGCCCTTGTACATTAACTGCAACAGTTCAAGAAGGCAACACATCACCACCTTCTCAAGGGCAATTAGTGATGGACAATAAACACTGGCCAGCCAGCGACATCCACATCCTGAGTTCTACCTTCAAATCAGATAGCAATATAGCATTGAGACAACAAGGTGCAGGGCTGGATGAACACAGCAGGCCAAGCAGCATCATAGGAGCAGAAAGGCTGACGTTTCAGGCCTAGACCCTTCTTCAGAAAGGGATTTCTTCCCAGTGCCTATGGGTCAATATTTATTTCTCAACCAAATTGTTTTTAAAAAAAAAAATGGAAACTTTGCATTGTTGCCTACACAAATTTGTTAAAACGGGCTGTCATGTTTCCCTATATACAACACTGGCTACTTTGAACATAGACATGTTGTTTGGGGAGATCACGGTTGATCAATTGTCACTACAACTCACTTTTCTACACAATATACCCTTTGATTCCTGCAGAAGTATTTAAAGCACACTTGAAATCCAGAGGCTGTAAAATGTTCTTTATGAATACAATGTTTTTCTTTCTGTCCAAATAAACCACTGAGTTAGGTTAAAGGACTAGGTCATTGATGTCGCAATGAACAGGATTGACAAGATGCTTCAGGCAGAGTCAGAACCAGTTAATCATGGTTTCTCAAGGTGTGGTCAAAAGCTGACACACACACTGTCCTGGGTGGTTTGCCCAGTAATAACCAGTTCCAGGGACTGGTAACTTACACTGGAAGTATTCTCCACTTCCACAATCACACCACCTCCCCTTCACTCTCAATTATTCCTCATAATCGAACCACTAATCCAAGTCCAAGTCCTCGCATTGCTTACTCATACTGTTTCATGTCCCTCAAACTTACTCAGTTATTTAAAAAACCACAAGTATCTCAAATACAATATTGCACGAATCCTTGCAGAATATGTTCATAATAGTTGAGTGGTATAGGTTTTGTTAAAATGGTCACAATTGATAGTAATGAATTGCAGTACTTAAACAATACAATTTATAGCAGATAACTTGCAAAAACATTGCACACATTAGGTACAGTGGGGAGCTCAAAGGACCTCATTTTTGAAAGAATAAGGAAGAAAAAATGTTCACTTATCAGATTTAAACTCAATTCAAGGGTACCTTACAAGCTACTGACTTCTCAATATTTGTAACCAAAAAAAAATTCAGAACTATAGACACAATTTCCAGATTAAGACATGGTTTAGAGTTTCTTCCTTTCCACTTATGATATGGAAACAAATTCTACTGTGTTTGGGTCATTGTGAGCACAGATGCCTCAATAATTATCATTGTCTCTTAATGAATCTTAAAGCAGTGTAACTTGAAATACAGTGAACTAAATTACATCTGTTTATCATTCTCTCTGTGAATTATACAACCTGTTTTGGGCCAATGTGTTCAAGAAAGATAATGAATCATCTATGTTTGATGGCTTACCTCTTTTGCAGGGTAAAAACAATAGTTCCAGTACCAGAAGGTTTTGGGTAGGTAGCTTTTTGATAAATGATGTTCTGGTGGAAAGGGATGAAATGTTTCTCTTTTATTTGTATCCCTGGAATCACCAGCTTCTACGTTAACAGTCTCCATACATCTCCCCATAGCTAAATCTTCAGTAGATGTAAAATGAGTGCACTTCCCGGTCTTAAAGGCATCAACAAATCTTTTCAGTGCTTCCTTGCTCAACACATATCCAGCTCCACCACTCATGTATCCTTGCTTAACATATGGTTTGAATTTTCTGCCAAAGAATATCGGTTGGTCAGGAGAGTACTTTGATAGCAGCCAGCGCAAATTGTCAACCACTACGTAAGTGTCATCATCTGCTTTCATAAACCAATCAGCATCATTCAAGTGATGTTCATGAACATACTGAAAAGCTTTAATAGTTTTCCAATATAATTGGTCCCTGCCTTCTTTAACACCCAGTCCCACTGTAGGGAAATCTTTATCTTCTTCTGAGCTCATGAAAAGCACGACATTACATTTTTTGCTCCATGTAGCTTTGACATGTTTGGTCTTTGTGGCAAGGTTCTGGGGCCCAGTCATCACCCAGCACAGGATTCGCACTGTCTTATATAGCTCATCTGCAACACTTCTGTTTTCATCTGTATTATAGAAAGTACATGCATTATTTAAAATCATTAACAAAATGTTATCCAAGAGAATTTGTTTAAAATATCAACTATAAACATTCAGAATATTCTGCATCCATATTGTTTCAGGCAAACTCTCTCTAATCTAGAACAATGAAATTATAGTTTATGTAGAGGTTCCAGTAATACCTGGCATTTACCCTTCTCCTGCTGGCAAATTGCCATTCTTTTCCAACTGGGAAAGATGACAAATTTTGAACTAAAGACTTCTGATTATTCAGCATCAACATTAATGGAAGTAGACTAACACACTTGCAATGGTTCAGCCAACGATTATTGCAGGTAGTTTGCATTCAATGTCTCAGTGCTTTTGATAAACTAAGCTCTGCAGTTTCAGTTAGAGAATAAAAGCATTATACCGCATGAGTGATTTAGAATAGATGGTTTCAGTGCTGCTTGTCACTGCATTACAGGGAGCATACGAACACACTGGAGAAAGTACGGTGGAGATTTACAAGGGTGTCTGACGCAGGATATTTTTAGCTTAAACGGAAAGACAGTAGTGTGTGTTGTCGTTTGCCACTTAACAATGGCTGAAGGACCTATTTTGCTTAACCGGTAGCATTCCCCTCTTAGGTATTTAAAATAATTGATAAAAGGATTAGAAAGGAATTAAGGATCTTTTTAAGGAGCTTTTATGTTATTTGTTATCAAAAATGTTGTCAACAAAACTGGCAGCAGATACATGAATTTGCCAAGAAAGAGACACAACTAATGTTAATCGTTTTCAAAACTGTTGCTAATACCAGTTTCAGCGTACATGGACTCAGAGTCGTACAACATGGAAACAGACCCTTCAGTCCAACTTATCCATGCTGTCCATATACCCTAAATTATAGGAGTCACATTTGCCAGCATTTGTTCTGTATCCCTTTCAACCTTTCCTATTCATCTACTCAGCCAGATGCCTTTTAAATGCTGTAATTACACCAGCCACCATCACTTCCTCTAGCAGCTCACTCTGTACATGCGCCTTCTTCTACATGAAAAAGTTGCCCCTTAGGTCCCTTTCTCCATTACATATCAATGCATATTCTATCAGGGTTCAAATGTCTATGAAACACCACCCAGAGTATCTCACAAAATTTAAAGGATACCTTGATGTTGACTGACGTCAGCATTGAAGTTCATCTCTCCTTGAAGATTTTGATGGTGTTGGTGATGGTGAGAGTCTTCCAAGTGGCCATGAGGGTCATTGAAAATCAGATGACTGTGCTGAGGTGCTTCTTTTTTTATTGCACTAATTGCTAGTCTGCATATGATGAATCCTAAGCCCAACCCACAACAAAACATGAGCAGAGAAATTACAGACCGTGAAATTGCCATTTCCTCGCAGTAATATGCTGGGGGGAGAAAAGAACAAAAAAGTGTCACCATGAACAGATTACAGACATAGCTCACTATAGGGAAATTTTTCAAATGTCAAAGCCAATCAAATGTTTGATTTTTTTCATTTAATTGTTCTTAAAACAAGAGAATAAAAGGGAATAAAACAGAATGCTAGGGAATAAAAGCAAAATACTGCAGATATTGGATTTCTGAAATGAAAACAAAGTGCTGAAGAACCTCAGCAGATCTGCCAGTACCTGGGGAGAGAGAAACAGTTAACATGACGACTTCTTCAGAACTCGCTTCAGGAAAGAGTGAAAACAAAAAGCTAAGGGAGTCTTTAAAACGAGATGGTTTGAATGTAAAAGAAAAGATGTTTTCCTCCAGTTACACAAAAGCCTTAGTTAAGCCACTTTATATTCATTCAGGATGAAAGCGTTCCAAGCTATGCTAGAATTTATTGCCCATCCCCAAATACCTCTGATGCAGGGGATAACATACCCAGAACTGTGCTAATACCCGAGAGAGAGAACATTGTATAGTAAGAATGTGCTGCAAATATGCCAGAATACATCAGGTCTATAGATGGTTAAATTATGAAGTGCAGTCATAAGAAAACAACCAAGAAAGACGTGCATTTACACAGTGCGTTTCATGAGCAGATTTCACAAAGCACTTTACAATCAATTGAGTACTGTAGATGTCAGCATACAAGTCATATTTTAAGGTTAAGGTTTAAATAAATTTTCCAAGAATGGGAGTCATCTTATAATGTCAAGTATATGTCACTGTACCAATCCATCACCAATTAAAGAGACAGACAATCCAACCACCGTCCCTTGACATTCAATGGAAATACCATCACTGAATCCCCCACTATCAACATCCTGGGGGTTATCATTGACCAGAAACTCAATTAGACTCACCACATAAAGTGATTACAACAGCAGACCAGAAGCTAGGAATACTACAGCGAGTAACTCACCTCCCGACTCCTCAAAGCCTGTCCACCATCTACAAGGCACAAGTCAGGGGTGTGATGGAAAACTCCCCACGTGCCTGGATGAGTGCAGCCCTAACAATCCAAGGAGCTTGACGTAGTCCATGACAAAAGCAGCCCGTTTGATTGGCGCTACATCCACAAACATCCACTTTCTCCACCACCAACGCAGCAATGTGTATTATCTACAAGATGCAGAAATTCACCAAAGATCCTCAGACAGCACTTTCCAAACCCACGACCACTTCCATCTAGAAGGAGAAGGGCAGCAGACATATGGGAACACCACCACTTCCAAGTTCCCCTCCAAGCCACTCACCATCCTGACCTGGAAATATAATCGCCATTCCTTCACTGTTGCTGGGTCAAAATTCTGGAATTCCCTCCCTAATGGCATTGTGGTCAACCTACAGCAGGTGGACAGCATCAATTCAAGAAGGCAGCTCACCACCACCTTCTCAAGAGCAACTAGGGATGGACAAGAAATGCTAACCAGCCAGCGATGCCCACATCCCACAAATGAATAGAGAAATAAAAACACTTTCTTCAGTGTGGTTGGTTGCCATTTTTGTCTTTTGCCATGTGCAATCTGCTCTGTGCAAGCATGTCTTAAACTCCCAACCATCTTCACAACCCAGCCTGTATCATCTGCTTGATCCCTTGTGCCCAGTTGTAAAGGTACTGAAACAGGATATGCATATCTAGATTAATAAATTGACGCTGACCATTAATGTGAGGAATAACGTACTATACCTGAAAAATGGGCCAACTTGTATGCCAGGTATCTGCAATGACGTGATTTTTGAACAAGGAAAATTGTGTAGTCACTGTTGTAATCACAGTTGCCAATTTAAGCAAAAATCCACAAACAACAGTCTGCACCTGCTTCTTGTGATGTTGAATGTGGGATAACCACTGACTAAATGGCTGGAGATAATTTCCAACCTCTTCTCCAAATAGTGCCCTGCGATCTTTTACATTCAGCCAAGTAGTCAGATGAAACTTCAGATGAATCTCCGATAGCTCAGCACTCCCCCAGTACTGCACTCAAGGTCAGTATTGATTTTTTATTTTGCTCAAGGCCTGGAGTTGGACTTCTGTTGCTTCTGGTTCCTTACTGAACTATTAACAATGCCACATCTGACACAAGATGATATAAATTAAGCTTACATTTCCTGCAGTAAAAATGCACAAGGAGTAATTCAGTTGACATTTTTCGGGATTTGAAAGAAATAGATGGAATCTTCTTACGCCGGTAGCAGGAAGTGGCAGATGAGGTAGTTGAGAATAATGAAAATGAAGTTAAAACTCAGATAGACCATTCAAAAGAAAAAAATTAGAAACATTTTGACACAAAGAATAGCAGAAATGTGTATATCCCACACAAAGGCTCAGAAGGTCCCCTCAGGATGTGAAGGAGGATGAGGATAGCTAAAAATCGAATGTCTTCATTGTCATTTCTTCAAGGTTAAAGCACAGCACAGGCTCTGCTGAAAAACTGTAGCTTCTGCTGCAGCAGGATTTGTATTCTGGAGAAGTGGGTGCCCATCAAGTTAACATCAGCACCTAATTTTTGTGGTTGGATTGTTACAAATATTCACTGGAACCCTGTGAGAAATCATCCAATCCCAAAACCACAAATGTATCAAGGACTTTGCCAATGAAATTTATGAAGGTTTACACCTCTTCTTCTCTTTTCCCCATGATTAGGTTAATGCTACAGCCAAGGTAGTGGTATTTTCCAATATCACTGGTCATCCCAGGTGCAGAACACCACCTGGTCACCACGTCCAGTTGCGAGTCCCATACTATAATGCATATAAATTAATTAACAGGAAAGGGTTTTGGCCAATCAATGTCTGTGATCACTGCTGCCATGTCTTAGGAGGTCAGCGCTTGGAACCCTGGTATCTGCCACGATGCGTACATTCTTAATAATCCTTAATTTCCTGCCTCATTCCAAAAGGCTGTGCTTACAGCAGTTTTTCGCATCAGAAGAATATGCTATGAGGCAGAACTTGATGTTAGGGAGCACTGGACATCACCCATCCTTGAATGCATGTACTCATAGGAGACATAGCTAAAGTGAACATTTTCACCCAGAAGCTTGCATTCATGAATGATCATGTAAACACATACACAAAGTGTGGAACATGAATGGAATCAAGAATCTATTAAGAGTGTTCACAATAGCTTTGGTCTCACATGGTCTCCTCATTGAAGTGTTAAGTCTTGGCTGCAAACTTGACCACAAAGGTTGAAGGATATCTAATATCTGCTGCTTTACAAGATGTTTTTCAGAGATGGGTAATGCCTCGTCACTATAACTTCTATCCTCCTTGGAATGCAAGGACAGACTTTAACTCTGCCATGTAACCAGATCCTACAGCTAAAATGACAGTTGATCAGATTTGTGACGAGTGAAGGTGCATTTATATTTACAGATGTAAAAGCATATTAACAAAGATGTGTCATTCATGTTATGCGCCCTCAGAGTATTTCTTTTTCTTTGCCCTCACACTACATCTAGGTGCAGCCCTGGGGTCTGAAGCTAGGGTAAAGGAGGCCTGCTTGATAACAAAATCTGTTAGCTTGAACGTTTTGGGCAAACAGCTCTGGGGGCATTTGTGGAAATGCATGTCCTGCGCAGATGCAGGCTTATTCTCTTTGGCCACAATACAACTGAAGGTTAAAAGGAGGTGGAGGGGCTGGGCACCTCTGGCATATTCTCACAGAAAACTTCTTTATGTGGTTTTTCACTTACATCTGGGTAACTGCTGGAACTACCTCATCTCCTTTGAGAGGAAGGGCAACCTTGAGAAGTTGAGGTCCCTCGTCTCCCTGTTGAGCATCAGCAGCGAGGCAATGTCAGTCGGCATGCAGTTCCAGTTGTCACTGAACGTTCTGCTGGACTTGGCACCTGCCAATCTGTCCATGGAGACAGTCAGGCATACATTTGCTGAAGTCAGTCCGACACTGATAATATTAGCAGACAAGTCCAATCTTCGATCCAATTTACTGAGTACCTATGACAAATCTGCTTGCTGCTTTTGACACTGTGCATTTGCACAATGTTACTAATGATTGACACCATGAGGTCATTGTCAGTGCGAGGCTAAGCAGTTGCCTGATCTCTGGCAGTCCTGAATGTCAACAACCTGGGACTATTCCTTCCTCTACCAGTTGCAGAAACATGCCAGTGATGTGCTCACCAGAATTGGCTCCCGAATCTAACTTAGAAAAACAGAACCCACCGAAGTGAAAATCTGAGCTGGTGGAGAGCGCAAGTCTTGCTGATATATTCTCAGGTCTGTGGCTGCTTCCTCAAGTGGAGGAGGAGCTGACGGAGTAGCTGCTTTGATGCTGAAGCTGCCTAGGTGCCACTGGTGCCTGCATATGAGAAAAGAGGCCATTAGTTGCACAATAAATGCCCAAGCATTTTAAGAACATGTTCACAGTGGTGACAATGGGAGAGCAGCGTAGCACAACACAATAAATATTGCTAGCTGTCTCAACATGGAGATCTCAGTATCCCCGAATGAGTGGTCATCATGGTCCTCTCCTGCTATTGAGGATTTTCTTCTCCTATAGGATAATCACACAAATGTCAGCCAACCCAGCCTGGGCAGGAAGGGCAGTAGTTCGAGAGGATGAGGTAGGTAAGAACCATTGAGTAGATAGTTGTAGACCATTGGTTGGTGGGAGGATTACAGAAGAGAGCAGAAGAGCATAAACCTTCTTACAGCATTGTTCAGCCTGGAGACCAAACAGACACAGGTGGCTGTCTCACTCCAGGCTGGCTGCGTGTGGTGGCATGACCTCGTTTGGCATTCTGGAGGAAAATGCCCCTCTTCTCTGCTGATCACCCCAGCCACCAGGACTTCCAGATCCCTATTAGAGAAATAGGGTGACAACTTCCCTTCTGGGCCATGTCCTTAGCAATGATGTTTGAGTACCAGAATGTAAAGGGCAGTACCTGGTCTGCAGTGTTTGAAGTGGTGAGCAAATAGAATTTCAACATGATAGCCATGGCATGAATGCCAGAGGTCTCAGTAGCAGTGAGCTCTTCCATCTCTGCTATTGCACAACTGAATGAAAAGCACCTTGAGCCCAGGTGCATAGTTAATGCAGTAAGCAACAGAAGACTGCATGTGAAATGTCACCAAGGGCCATGGTGGGAAACCCTCTAATAAACTACAGTACCTGAAAATAACAGCCAAGAATAGGAAAACCTCAGCTCAATATTACAAATATTTGAGTTAGCATTTACTACATGTTCTAATTGGTAGTCCTTTTGTTTTTGTCTGCATCCAAGTTATTCTGCTTACACACTAACAGGTTAGGCAACTATATTATCTCTCATTCCAATGTTCAGGGGTGTTTCATACAAATGGAATTAAAATTACACTATCATTTCTTGCTAACTTGCTCCTGATTGGTCTTAAGTTTCCAGATATGGCAGATAATGTTTCTTAAAGCTATTTACGCTTTGATCTAGGAAAAAAAAAACACACTTTTCTATAGATCTGCACATATTTCCTCATTTTTGGACACTCAAATTCATTACCAAAATGATTGGCTGCAAAGTAGAATGCATATCAAATTCATCATTTTAATTTTCTGTGTCTATTAAGTGTATGGGGAAGTTGAGATTGGGGAAGTATATTTTATATCTAAATTTGGCCACCAAGTGTTTCATTCTTATTTTAGGGCAAGTATCTTTTAAAAATATCAGTCCACACCAATTATTTTGAAAAAGCAGTGAGTATGAAATACATCTTGTACTAGCACCGTTCTCAACTATTAAGTGGAAGTACAGCACCTAGGGCTCAAATTTAAATTATGCTTTAAAAGAACACATTAACAAGTGCAAGACACTGCATATTTTTGACGTATTTTAAGTGTTTTCACTGAACTATGTCATCCAAGTGGCTTCACAAGGTTTTCAAGTTAGTAGAAGAAAAACGCCCAAATTAACGTAGCACATAAGTCAACTGAATAATTAAACACTCTATCCGTAACAGCTCAATTTAAACAGCATCATGTTTATAATCACAGGTTAAAATGTCAAACTTGCTCAGCAAAATCTCACCTCCATGCAAGTATACAGGAATCTATTACACTCCTGATTTATGTTTCTTTGATCATGGACAAGCTTTAGGGAGTTGGGAGGAGAGTACTCAGTGTAGAATTCCCAATCCCAGACTTGCTTAAATAGATGTTTTTTTAAATTAATCTTTGACATGTTATGACATACCTCTGGAGGATGTGGTACTTAAATATGGGTCTTCAGATCCTGTGCCCCAAGAGTCGATGACTTGGTTTTGTAGCTAGCTGGAATATTTATAATGAATAATCACCAGTTTCTGGTCAACAGTAATCCCAGGCATGGGGTTCAGTGATGGCAATACCACTGAAAGGCAAGGGGTGATGGTTAGATTCACCCTTTCTTGAGATGCCATTTAACCGAGGCCTGATTGATAAAGGTCTTGGAGCATACAGCTACAGACAGTTTCAATATAACAAGGAATTGTGAATATTGCACATTGAGCAAATATCAGAGAACATCCCCACTTCTGACCTTCAGATGGGACAGCCTTTTGAGCATCTGTTCTGACAGTAAATCACCATTTCAAATGTTTCCTTCCCCCATTCACAGAAGTAGAATCAGAATAGGCTTTATTGTCACTTGCACTTGAATGAGTGCAGTGAAAAGTTTGTAATGTCACCTCTCAGCATCATCTGAGGTACAGAGTATCTCACTGCCAGAGAGGGGATGAGAGCTAATGTTTGAAGTCTTAGTCCAGTAACAATATTGGTTTGAACAACTGGGTGGTGGTGTCGAATGGAGAGACCTAGGGGTTCAGGTACATAGTTCTCTGAAAGCTGCGTCACAGGTAGATAGGGTGATTAAGGCGGCGCTTAGCACACTTGCCTTCATTGCTCAGCCCAGTGACACAGGAGTTGGGGTGTCATATTGAAATTGTATAGGACATTGGTGAATACACTTTTGGAGGATTGTGCACAGTTCGGATCACCCTGTTGTAAAGAGGGTATTATTAAATTGAAGAGGGGTCAGAAAAGATTTACAAGGAATGTTGCCTGGAGGGTTTGAGTTATAAGGAGAGGCTGGATGGCTGGGACTTTCTTCACTTGAGCATAGGAGGTTGAGGAGTGACCTTGGAGGTTTATAAATTGAGAAGGGCATAGATAGAATAACAAAAGGTATTTTCCCAGGGTGGGGGGTTCAAAACTAGCGAGCATATTTATAAGGCGAGAGGAGAAATAATTAAGTGACCTGAGGGACAATTTTTTCCACACTAAGGATGGTTTGTATGTGCAATGAACTGCCAAAGGAAGTGGTAGACGCAGGTAGAGTTAGAACATTTAAAAGACATTAGATAGGTACATGAATACGAAAGGTTTAAGAGGGATATGGGTCAAGGGCAAGCAAGTGGGGCTAGTTTAGTTTGACAAGTGGGACCAAAGGGTCTGTTTCTGTGCTGTATGACTCTATAACTTCAAATTGTAGTTCCAATTTTCTCTTTGGCATCTCCTGTTCACCATTCAACCTCTTTCCACGGTTAATTTTTTTTTCTCCTTTATGCAGTTGTACTTATTTCCCCTTCCACTTGTTCTGTACTTTTTTGAAACACCATTTATTTATAATATCTTTCAGCTTTAAAGGAGAGGGCCAAATAGAAAACTTGTCTGTTCTCTCTCTGCTGGAGTTTCTCTGCTACTTCCAGGATTCTAGTGTACACGCTTTAGCAGAAATAATAGAGGGATAATTATTATTTAAATGGAGAAAGATTGAAGAAAGCTATGGAATACAGGGATTAGGGAGTCCTTGTCCATAAATCATAAAAAGCTAACATTCAAGTACAGTGGGTAATAGGGAAGGCAAATGGAATATCGGCCTTTATTTCAAAGGAAATGGAGTTAAAAAGTATATAGGTTTGTTTAAACTGTACAAAGTACTAGTCAGACCACAGCTGAAACATTGTTAGCAGTTTTGGGCCCCTTATCTAAGGGGAGATATACTGGCATTGGAGGCAATTCAGAGAAGGTTCACTCAGCCAATACCAGGTATTGTGGACTGTCCTACATGGAGAGATTGAGTAGATTCAGCCTACATACAGAGGAGTTTAGAAGAGTGAGAGGTGACCTTATTAAAACATACAAGATTCTTAGGGATAGTAGGAACTGCAGATGCTGGAGAATCTGAGATAACAAGGTGTAGAGCTGGATGAACACAGCAGGCCAAGCAGCATCAGAGGAGCAGGAAGGCTGACATTTCGGGCCTAGACCCTCCTGCTCCTGCTGTGTTCATCAAGATTCTTAGGGGACTTGATCTTCCCCTTGAGGCAGAGTCTAGGACCAGACAGCATAACCTCAGAGGAAGGAGTCTCACATTTAAGACAAAAACGAAGAAGAATTTCTTCCCTCAGAGGTTAGAGAATCTCTAGAATTCTTTACTGCAGTGTGCTGTTCAGGCTGGGTCATTAACTATATTCAAGGCCAAGACAGACAGATTTTTAAGTCAGTAAGGGAAAATGCAGGAAAGTGGAGTTGAGGATCATCAGATCAGCCATGATCTCATTGCATGGTGTAGCAGATTCAATTAGCCGAATGGCCTACTTCTGCCCGTGTCCTACAGCGTGAATTATTTTGTTTTCAAAATGACTTAAGTGTCTGTCCCTCGAAGCAAATTGTGAAAATGACATCTCTAATCCTTTAGATTGCACACAAAGGCAACCAATGATACTCAGACTTGTTACATTATTACATCATTAAAACTAGTCAGACTGTTGACGTGGTGGAATAAGAGAAACTTTCCAATAACAACTTGTGTTTACAATATCCTGAGTACATCAAAACATTCCAAAGTGCTTCACAGGCATGTCATCAAACTCCGTTATAAACATGGCCAATTTCAGCAGGCATGGCCTTATGAGCTTGAAACAGCATAGGAGATGGAAGGAAGTGCACATAAATTGATGTCTCACTTGCAGTGATGGTTTGGAACCATGTACTACAGTGTGGGAGGATCTTGATTAGTAAACTGGAGAATATCTTCACACCTAGTTCCACTTTTCTGTCCTGAAGGAGGATTAGTGGACCCGAAACATTAACTCTGCTTCCTCTTCACGGATGCTACCACAACTATAAGACCTTAAGACATAGAAGTAGAAATTAGGCCATTTGGCCCACTGATTAGCAGAGCAGATCAATCA